TATCTTATATTGGCCCTCTGTATTGCTACAGGAGTATTTCAAGTATCTTCAGGTCTGCAGCGTGATTCTTTTGAACCTTTAGGTATGACACCCCTTAAGGAATTCATCATTGTATTGTGCTTTACTAAATGTTTGGTAATGTTCATTTATTGATGATTGTGACATTGATATTTGGTGTAATGTATTTGTTCATATATATTTTATCTAACAGTGAAACCATGTACAGTGTTCATGAGACTCCTGAAGAAGACAGGTTTTGGTGAAACATGTTGAGTAGAAGCTGCTTCAATAGCGTTCAAATTCGTGTTGACTTCAGTTGTATATAAGTGATGATTTTAATAATACCATGTTGATGGTGTTTGTTTTTATATGTTGTCATATAATAAAATTGTTATTTTTATGATAATATTTTGTCATTTGATTACATGTTGGCACTGCTAAAAGTCCCTTTTCTTTGTTAACTTTTGTGGTATTATTTTTGGGATTGGGTGTCCTTGATTTCTGGACACCTGACTACCTTGTTCCCAGTTACTATAGAAAATGTTTACAAAATATCATCTATTGGTATATGAATCTTGATAACTTGGTCAAATTTATCCAGATTCAACACCCTTCTGTTGGAGAGGATGTGGCCACATCACATATTCTTGTACTGCCCTGTTGTATAGTCCTACTGAATGCCAGTTAAAGCTCTTGTAAAAGATCTCATTGGCTTTCAGATTCCTTTGGAACCCTTTGTCTATGTCCTGGCAAACTTCTCTGTGCCCTTACACTTACCATAACAGTATTTGCTGAACATCATTGGCAGAAAATGCTTCTCCTTGGTCAACAAGTTTTCATCAATAGACCTAAATGGAGAGTCTCAATGCACAACTTAAACATACCACCTGGGCTTGTAACAAAGTGTGGCCACCATGTCTTAATTTTGTTTTGCCAATCTATAACAGCAATGGACTAACTTTTGTGTGGGCTTTAGTTATAAACCCTACCCTCCATTCTGCTGAAAGACTCTCTCCTGATCCTTTTCAACAGGTTCCAGTATTTACTTGTAGTGGCTGATTTGTAAGAACTTCTGACTGACGATTGTTTGTGTCTTATTAAAGAGACACTTCTGGAACACTATTTCCCCTACACCACTACCTTTCTTTTCCCCCTTCCTTTTTCCTCCCCTATCCTGCTTTGTAGCCTGTGCTTGACCTCCCTATCTATCATTATGTATTGATCTTAGATGTCAGACTCCCTTGTATTATATGTTTCTAAACTTTCCCTTCTTGTGTGTTCAGACTTCCCTCTTGTCCCCCTAGAGATGTACCTGGGTATATTAATGCTTTTTAAGTTACTACCTAGAGTTTTGTTCTGACTAAACTTCACTGTATTTTTAGCATGCTTTTCCACTAAAACATTTAATTTAAACTTAAACATAGAACTTAGACTTTAAAAGATTGTTACGGTAGAGAAAAAGCATATATTTTATTCTGTAATTTGCCCGGTTAAAAATGAAACTAAAATGATGATTCAAGCACGAAACATTGCAAACCTATTTACAAATGTATAAAAGGATTTTTTTTAGTTTGCACTTTTTTAATGTAACACCAAAACAGCATTGAACAAAATGAATAAAAAATATAGGTTAGAAAAGTAGAAATAAACACAAAAAATAAAATAATGAGGAAAATAATAGTTAGGGAGAAGAAAGAGTTAATTAGGGCTGATTAGGGTAAACTAAACCTTAATAGAAGGCATATTAGTAGAAACAAATTTTATTTAAAAAAAAACTTGTTTTACTTTTCAGGCTACTTCAACTGGACATCATAAAGAGATCAACATTCATCCCTTTAATCTGCAAATGAATGAAACTGAGTAGAGATAAAAGTAACAATGTTACTTTGTAGCTCTCTACTGTATCTAGTGTCTGAACAGTGTTTTTAAACACTGTTTTTGACAGAAGCTGTGTCTACAGGTGCTGTATTTACACAGTACCTCCCAGCTATCACTTTTGAAAATTGGGAATGGTGAGCAAGTGTTAGGGGAAAAGAGAGCTGTATTGAGGCAAAATTAGTTTTTTTTTTAGCATGTGTAGCATGCCCACTGTGTACAACTGGTTGAAATGTTAATACACTTTGTTGCATTAAAAAAAAACAAATATTTTTTAAATGCAGATATGTGCAATTTGGAGTTGACTGACTATCTTATGATTGTGGCAGTTAGATGTGTAGCCCAACCACTTGCATACTGTGTCAAATAAAAAAACAGAGACTGCAGAACTCTAATACCCAAATACAGGATGTACAAAACTAGATGTGTTGTCACTTTAAATACTTTCAGATAAATAAAATGTGATAAAATAAATATGTCAAGTTAATCAAATCAGTAGATATACAAATAAATAACAATCCGTGTCCAGACACAATTCATAAATAATTAATGAAAACCATAAAAAATAAATTATTACATAAACAATAATTTTTAAAGTGAATAACATGCATAGGTGCATACATATGAATGGTATATGAAAGGATTTTGACTATAGGTGAAAAGGTCCAACTAAATAGTCAAATTCCAAAAATGATTCCAAGACTGATGCTGTGCAATTTTTACCTCTCAAATGTAAATCACCATGCTCCTCCACCTCCAAATGCACAAAATCCTTATCAAAGATTGGAGACCTCTACACTAGGGGATCAACACAGCATGAATGGAATAAGCCCATGATCTCAGCAGTAACAACCTGTGGTATGCAACTCACAACTCTCACTACCATTAGATGGCTCCAATACTGTCCATAAAGCTTAGATGTTTCACCAGCTAAATCAATTCACCTTCACGAAAGAAAGACACAAAATAACTCCATGGCATATTATAATCCAAACAGGGAGTTTAGAAGCTCCCAGGCAAAGCTAACTCATGAGGGCATCACACAAGCCGTGGTTTAGTCGTCGATGCCAGAATTTTGCTTGTTGTTCTTGTAGGTGAGTACCTTTATAGCACAATAAACTCCCTGTTTAGAAGATATGAGATTGGAGGATGACATGCCATAGAGTTTGTTTTGTGTCTTTCTTTTCACTTATGGTCAAAACATTGATTCATGTTTATGCACTTATGCATTTCATTCAGTTTAAAATAATTGTACAGGTAATGACATATTTTAAGGAATTTTCATAAATAATTTATAAATTGTGTCTGTGCGCAAATTGTTTTTTATTTGTATGAGTTGACTTCACTTGACATATTTATTTTATCATATTTGATTTATCTGAAAGCATTTAAAGGGACAGAGCATCTAGTTTTCACTAGGATTGTGACATTTACCTGAAGGTCAGGTGCATCTGAGAATGGGAAAGTCAACCCTGTCAACTAAAACAATAATGTTGATGACCTGAATAAATGATTTCAGCACTGATTATCCAAAAGCTGCACTGAAACAGCAATACTTTCAGAACATAGCATTATGAAGCAAATGTGTTTATATGACCAAAACATGTTTAGAATTGGATAGAATAGGGAATAATTAAGTCAGTTTATTTAATACTATCTGTGTTCTGTTGAAATTATTTCCCTTTATTTCCTGTCCAGATGATCCAAAAGGTATTCTGAGGAAATTACTATAAATCAAAGGGGAACACTGGAAAACCATCAATGTTTTTCTGTTTTGGTGACAATTGTAAAACTTTTTTTGTGTCTCGTGACAATAGCCACCAGGACAAATACAAAGGTCAAATGCCCCAGAGGTGACAAGGACAGTAACTAAAACCGGACAGCATTTCAAATTCTTTCTTATCCAAAAGAAAAATGTTTGACTATACTTACACTTAATAACTTTAAGTGGTATTGAGCCAAAAACCAAAAATGCATTTTATTGAAGCTTACCAATCATTAGATGTGATGGCTGTATCAGATGGCTGCATCAGTTTTTCCTGTTCTTACCTGGTGATGTAGCCAGTAATTCACCTCCTGTATTAGGTTCACATCTGTGCAGGTGGTGCCACTGTGGATCCACATGAAAATTTGTGCAGCCGCACCACCCGCACAGAGAAATTCGGACCCCCTACCGGGTGCCATTAGTTCTAATGGCACGTCGCCCGCACTGGAAAACGCAACCTGGGAACCGAGGTTTCTGTGCGGGCTGTGTTTTTGGAAGAAGTGCAAGGACTCCTTCCCTGCGTGTCATGGGGCACGGGAGTCCATTCAAATGGATGGGCTCTTGTGACCACGCAAAACGGGGCCCGCTCGGCCGTATATATGTGAACCGGGGCTTAGTGAAACACATCTCTGGATGAATGAGCACAGGACACAGCAGACATCAGCACTGTCAATCGGGGGAAGAGGGGAGGGGATTAGGAGTGTTAAATGTAATTTCATATTTGAATACAAAAACAAATTGAAGCCAAACTCCAGTTAACACCTTATAATCAGTTACAGCAAACAGCTTGCTTTCCTTTTAAGATAAAGGTTTTACCAGGGGCGGACTGATCATTCAAGAACTCGGGCACTGCCCGAGGGCCCAGGGTCAGTAGGGGGCCCCATGAAATGCCCCTGGTACATTTTATATGCTTTTTTTGAGTGTGGGCAAGGACACATGGGCCCCATGATCCCCTATTGCCCGGGGGCCCCATGAGTTGTCAGTCCACCCCTGGGTTTTACATTAATAAATAAAGGCTGATAATTTTAACCACCTCAGTACTGTACACTTTCACCCCTTTCTTTCCAGGCCAGTGTTCAGTTTTCAGCACAGTAACACTATGTATGACATTTAGTCATGAAACACTGTACTCAAATGAAAATTCCTATCACTTTTTTGAAACAAACAGATGTTTATTTTGGTGGTATTTAACCATCACTGGGTTTTTATTTTTTGCTAAATACATTTAAAAAAGACCCACAATTTTGAAAAAAAAAAGTATGTTTTTCTTACTTTTTGCTATACAATGTTGCAAATAAATAAGTGTTCTTCATAAATTTAGGCCAAAATGTATTCTGCTACACAGGGGCGGACTGACAACTCATGGGTCGTCAATAGGGGATCATGGGGCCCCTGTGTGCTTGCCCAAACTCAAAAAAAAACCTATGCAAAAGGTACCAGGGGCATCTCATGGGGCCCCCTACTGACCCCGGGCCCTCGGGCAGTGCCCGAGTTTCCAAATGGTCAGTCCACCCCTGGTGTTGACATTCTACTAGGGACACTGACAGTCCACTAGAGACATTGACAAAAGTTGATGTTGCAATGAAACACATTGCAGACGTGTGCACTGGGACAGTGTGAAAGATGCTGATGTTGACTGGTACGCTGTGACAAATGTTGACATGCACTAGTACACTGTAACAGATGTTGATGTGCACTTAGACACTGTGACAGATGTTGACAGTCCACTGGGGACACAGGCAGATGTTGACAGTCCACTAGGAACACCAACAGATGTTGGCAGTCCACTGGGGCACCACCAGATGTTGATGGTCCACTAGGGACACCAGTAGATGTTGATAGTCCACAGAAACACTGACAGATGTTGATGGTGTACTAGGCCACTGACAAATGTTGATGGCCCAGTAGAGACACCAACAGATGATGAAGGTGCACTGGGACACCGAAAGTTGCAGTTCACTGGGACACCGACAGAAGTTGATGGTCCACTAGAGACACTGACAGATGTTGATATTGAAATGAGACAGTACTGCAGATGGGGATACTGTGGAAAATGTCAATAAGCACTGGTACACTGTGAAAGATATTGATGAGCATTAGTACACTGTGACAGATGTTGATGGGACACTGGTACAGTTGCTGATGTGCTCAGATGTTTATGGGAAACTGGTACACTTTGACAGATGTTGATGGGGCACTGGCACAGATGTTGATTTGCACTAGTACACTGTGACAGATGTTGATAGGACACTGGTACAGAAGTTGATGTGCACTTGGACAGATGGTGCTTGGTGCACTCATGACAGATAGATACACTGTGTGGGATCTCTGTGTAACTGTGTAACTTACACACAGATCCTTGACAGGCTGCACTGATCTGCTCTCCTTCTTTTCACTGCAGGCTCTTTGTGAGGAGAAGGAGAGCCAACTAACAGTCATGTGCTGCTTGTTGACATTTGCAATGGCTGTGAATGGACACAGCCATCACATGACTCCAAGGGCCAGTCAGAGAACAAAGCTCCCAATCCTTGATGTGCTGTGTCTGAGGGACACAGGCATCACAGGATTGCAATTGCACAGCTGTGCGGCCCCATAGACTGGAAGGATGTACCAGTACATCCTTCCAGATCTGTGCTTGTCCCTCCCAGCCGTTTATGTGCAGTGACCAGGTGGGAAGTGGTCACCCTTGCTAGTGTTAAACGGTTTGTCTCATCCATGTAAACTGATACATTCTGCTGCAGTTGCTGGCTGAATCACCAGAGGAAATAGAAGAAAGAAAGCCTAAAAATGAAATTAATACCGTCATTGGTATATTATTATTATATAGGATGTAAGCCAACAGTTTACTCAGCGCTTTACAATATAAAGGGAGACGATACAGCAACGATATAGTTCAATACAAGAGGGTTAGGAGGGCCCTGTTTCTTGGAGCTTACAATCTAAGAGGGAGGGGCTGGTGGTACAAAAGGTAATAACTGTGGGGGATGAACTGATAGGAGGAATAGAAGATTCCATTATTAACTGAAGGCAGGATAGGCTGCCCTGAGGAGATAGGTTTTCAGAGATTGCCTAAAAGTGGGCAGAGTAGACGATAGTCTGATAGATTGGGGTAGAGAGTTCCAGAGGATGGGGAGGCTCTGGAGAAGTCCTGGAGACAAGCATGGGAGCAGGAGACAAGGGAGCTAGAGAGCAGAAGGTCGTGGGAGGAGCAGAGAAGACAGTGTTGGGTGATATTTGGAGACAATATTTAGGGATGTAATTTGGGGCATAATTATAAATGGCTTTATATGTTATTTTTAATGTTTTGAACTTTATTCGTTGGGCAATGAGAAGCCAGTGGAGGGATAGGCAGAGAAGGATGGAAGATATGGAACAATTAGTAAAGTGGATGAGCCTGGCAGCAACATTCATGAAGAGGGGATATCCTGCGATTAGGTAGGCCAATGAGGAGGGAGTTACAATAGTCAAGACAAGGGATAACAAGGGAGTGATTAAGTTGCTTAGTGGTTTCAAAGGTTAAAAATGGATGTATCTTGTGGAGGTGAAGTCTGCAAGATTTGGACAGTGATTGGATTTGGGGCTGAAAGGACAGATGGGAGTCTAGGATTACACCTAGAACCCTGGCATGAGGTGAGGGACTGATGGTAGTTGATCCTTTATCGAGAAGTCAGGGAAGGGGGCACGGGCTGGAGGGAATAGTATGAACTTCATTTTGGAAAGATTTAGTTTGAGGAAGTGGAGTGACATCCATGTTGATATGTCACTTAGTAGGTTAGTAATTTGAGAGGAAACTGAAGGGGCGGGGTAAGGAGTCATCATATGTAAGAATTTTTAAGCTGCAATATAATGTATGCTTTTGGATTTAACATTTCTCTCAATTTACTAAACTAAACTTGAGGAAGTGCAGTGACATTGGGATAGACTGGGGTAGACTGACTCAAGTGCAGTAAGCAGAGCAGAGTGAGTGTGCTTTATACATACAATCATGGGCAGGGGAATTTTAAACAACAGGGTTTCTCTTTCATAGGACTAGGTATTTGAAATGTGTGCAGGTAGGGCTGCTGCTAAAAACCACAGGGCCTCATACAGCCAACCTAACAGGCCCCCTTTGAAAAAAAAAAAACAGTTTACCATGCTTCAGTTATGAATGAACACAGTGAGTGATTGGTACCAATCACTTGTGTTCATTCAGGAAAGGAATGGGCTGGTAAATGTGACATATTTACCCGACCTTTCCCCCAGTATCCATCCTGAAGGACCCTATTGCCTGACTAAAGCTGCTGGTGGAAAGGAGAGGAGGGAAGCCAGCAGCACTGCAGGGGTGGAGGCACACAGGGGGGGCCTAGGCAGCAGGGGGAAATGTATGGTACACAAGGAGGGTGATGGGTGTGCCAGGGGCAATTACTGGAACTGATCCCTTGTATGGCTCCTTGTGCAGCAGCTGAAAGCCAGTGAGAGAGAGAGGAGAAGAAGCCAGCTTTCAGCTGGTGCAGAAAGCCACACAGGGGATCTGTTCCAGTAGTTGCCCCCGCCATGCCGATCACCCTCCCTGCCCACATTCTATTCACCCAGCTGCCAGGGCCCCCTAATGGCCTGGGCCCTGTACAGGAGGTCGGGTGGTACCCCCTTATCCATAGCCCTGTTTACAGTTTCACTCCAACTTACTGTATATATTGAATATAATTCACATTACATTTCAGTGACTTTGGTCAGAATAAATTTAGTTCACTGTACTTCACACTTTATAACGCAAGCTCTATAGTACTACTGAATATGATAAATTCTGATCTAGTAAAAGCATATTGACAGTTTTAGCCCTGATTTACTAAAATGTGATGCACGTTGTAATAAAGTGAGGAAAGTGAAGTGTACATGTGTTTACTTTAGGATTATAGTTCCATAGAAGAGATGTGTTTTTTAATAAATTCCCAGAAACATATGTTGATATTTGAAGTGACCGCAGTTCATTTTTCTTCACCTCACTTTACCTTGCTTCACACTTTAGTAAATCAAGCCTTTCATGGTATGCTGTGCATAAATATATTTAAACCAATACTCAAGCTGTAAGCATTTCTCAAATGTTGTTTGTCAGCCCTTTGACTTCACCAGCTATATACCTTTTAGTTAGGCTACTTCAAAAACTTATAGAAAGTACAAACATTTCTATTTGGCAGCATGTAACTAGCAGAAATCATTTTAATATTTTTATATTATTTTTACTTGCACTAGTATTTTATTCTTGCAGTGCATTGTTTGCAAAGTAGATATATACAATACTAGTCTATTACTATGACAAATTAAGATATATGTAACAAGGCAATAAATCACTTTAAAATGTTCATATGTAATGTGAATATTTAATTTTCAAATTCTCCATATTTGTAAAACAGAAAGGGTTTAGATTAAAAATGTGACATCAATTTTACTTTTTCTGACATAACACAGAAAAAAACTTACACAAGGAAATCACATCCCACTGGTTCTATCTGTCCTTTATTGGTTTCCAGATTGAAAAAAGATTACATTTTACCACCTCTCCTTCCTTGCATTATTTCTTCATGCATCTCCCAGCTCCCTTTTAATCAACCTAGCAACACATCCTATGCAATCGAAATCCAAATAACTTTGTGCTTACTCAGGCATAACTTGCTGCCGACTGAACTTTTTAACCTGTTCACAATCAGCCATGCTTACATTTCTTTCTTGTTGTTGTGTATAATTTTAGTTTTAACATGTTGTTATCCATTAGTCAAAAAATGCTGTATTATAAAATTGCAAATTGGAAACATTTTAATACAAAAATTAGAAAATTAGGAAGACTAACCATGATTCATGTTTTCTGACAAATATCAAATACCTATATCTTAGATAAAACATTAAGAAAAAAGCAATCATATGATTTAACCCATGATTGCAAACTGGAGATAATCTTCAGGCTTTGTGTTGTGTTAAAAGCTTATTTGCGATCTAAATAATTTTTATAAGAATTGAAATAGGCATGAAGTAACAACATTGATGCAGACAAACTAAGACATGTACCTATGTTGTACACATTTAGTCAAAGGAATAGATGACACAAGGTTTCTGCAAAATTGCATAGACAGATCAAATAAATTACATAGACAATTGTCAAGTTATTAAATTGCTAAAGACAAATGGAATGTGAGGCCTAATCACAGTCTATTTACATGCATATTGCAAATTAAATAGCAAAGGGCATGCATGTAGAATTTAACTGGTTCATAAAACTTAAACCAAAAGTATCATGTACTGTCATATCATATATACTGTAGGGATATTTGAAAGGGGGTGGGGCTACAGTAACTTTTAGGAAGACTAATCAATGGCTAATCAATGGCTGGTTAGAACCTTTTCATAAGTCTTTCTTTTTATTATAGACCTAGGTTTGTGCCCTGGGATCCTGGAAGGCTGCATAGAATTCTAAAATCATTTGTTTGGGTGATGCACTAATTATAGTAGCATCCAAACAATTATCTGTAAGCATGAGTAATATAGGCCCAAACATCAGGTTGGAAGCAAGGAGATGGGTAGTACTTTAAGGGGTCATAAGGTGCATAAACTGGGAAGAGGGCAGGGGGTCAGGAATACGCCAGTGGAAAATAAGAGAAGTATGCCAAGCCAAATAGTATAAATTAACGTCTGGCTGGGCCAAACCTCCAAAACACATAGGATGTTTCAGAGCACAATATATGCTAGAGATGGTTTGCACCTAAATGGAAAGGGGTCTGCTGTGCTGCGGGAGAAGTTTATGGGGAGGCTGGAAGAGTATTTAAACTAGGATTGAGAGGGGGGAGGGTGAATTCGATTTTTATGGGGCAGACAGATCAGACAGGGGTCAGTCCTTATTGGTGGGTGGAATGAGGAAAGATGGGGGGAGGGCTATGGCAGATGATGAGAAGGTTCCCATATTACAAACAACCAGTGGAATTGTTACCATTTGTATGAAAATAAAAATATGCAAAAGACGTGTGAACAAGGTGTCAATGCATTAAAGTGTTTGTTCACCAGTGCCAGATGTCTTCCAAGCAAAATAGGTGAGTTAGAAGCTTTGGTGCATGAACAGATCTATGATTTAATTGGTCATTCTTCACATGTCTGGCCCATTAATATTCCTGGCTATATTTTTTTTTTGGATAGACAGGGTAAATAGGAAAGGTGGTGGTGTCCTTCTCTATGTGAGAAGTGATCTCAGAGCAAGTGTGAAAGAGGACCTAGTTGATGGAGAGTGTGATGAGGCTGAAGCATTATGGGTGGAACTCCACATGGGGGTGTGTACTACAAAGATAATCATTGGAGTTTGTTATAGGCCTCACAATGTTAATGAGGAGGTGGAGCTCAGCTCCTTGCACAGAGTGAAAGGGCTACAAGGGATGGGACAGTGATAATAATGGGGGATTTTAACTACCCAGAAATTGACTGGAGTAATGGTACTGCAGGAACAGTTAAAGGGCAAAAATGTATAAACCTACTACAGGACAATTTTGTGGTACAGTTAACCATTAGCCGCCCGGCCAATGGCCGTTTGGCGGCTTGAAATGTGCTCTTAAATTCCGGGTGCACGCCATTTGGCGTGCTCCCACACATGCGCAGTTTGCGGCACAGCAGAGCGGCGCAGCAGCGGGATCTGTCACGGGCCGTGCACCTCGGACACGGCCGATGACAGATCCGAGTACCGGCTCCCGTAGCTGGTACCATGTGACCTACTGTGACCAATCACAGCAGGTCACATGATAGTTGTATACAATGGATGGCTTCATTCATGATGCCATCCATTGTATACTAGTGCCTAACTGTGAATGGTCACAGCAGGTCACATGCACATGTCATGTGATTAGCTGTGACCAAATCACAGCTAAGCACAAAAAAAAAAAAAAAAAAAAAAAAAAAAAAGCTGAATGAATCGATTTCATTCAGCTAAATGCTTGCTTATAGCAAAGTAATTCTTTGCTATAAGCAAACTGTGTATAAAAAAAAAAAAAAAAATACTGATCACTCCCCCAAAGTAGTACAATGTTACTATGGTAACATTGTACTACTTTGGTCATAGTAAAATATGAAAAAAAAAATCTTTAAAAAAATTTAATAAAAAATTAAATATAAAAAAAAAATATATATATATATATATATTTTTTTTTTTTCATACTGTCACCAGTCAGTGTCCATGTTCACCGCCATGCCAGTTATATGAAGACGCTGTACTGCACTGGTGACAGTATGTAAAAAAAAAAATAGTGAAAATTATTTTTTTAATTTTTTCATTTTCCGAAAAATTATGACAAAAAATACAACTTCAAAAAACTCGCCATGCCTCTTATGAAGTACGTCGGACTGTCTACTCTGCAAAAAGGGGTCATTTGGGGATATCTGTACTATTCTGACATTCTTGGACCTCAAGAAATTAGATTGGCTATCAGTACTTCAGGATTGATCAATATTCAGATCTATACCATAGTTTGTAAACTCTATAACTTTCCTACAAACTAAAAAATACATCCTAATTTGGGTTATTTTCACCAAAGACATGTAGCAGAATACATCTCGGCCTAAATTTATGAAGAACAATTATTTATTTGTAAACTTTTATAACAGAAACAAAGAAAAATGTGTTTTTTTTTCAAAATTTTTGGTCTTTTTTTGTTAATTTAGCAAAAAATAAAAACCCCAGCGGTGATTAAATACCACCAAAAGAAATCTCTAGTTGTGTGAAGAAAATGATAAAATTTTAGTTTGGGTACAGTGTTGTATGACCGCGCAATTGTCATTCAAAGTGTGAGAGCGCTGAAACCTGAAAAATGGCCTGGGCAGGAAGGTGTAAAATCACACGGTATTGAAACGGTTAATGGAGGCCCCAACTAGAAATGATACTCTGCTGGACCTAGTAATCTCAAACCATGCAGAGCTTATTACGAATGTCCATATAAAAGAACATCTGGGTAGCAGTGACCATATCATGATTTCATTTATTGTTAGCTGTAAACAGCAAGCACATGCGGGAAAAATAAAACCGCTCAATTTTAAGAGAGCTAATTTTCCAAGGCTCAGAGCTGCTCTCCAAGACTTAGAATGGGAGGGCATATTGGCATCAATGAACACAACACAGAAATGGGAGTTCAGGGGAAATGGGGGGAACACACTGCAAAATATATTCCCATGAGCAACAGGTTTAAAAGGTTAAAAATCAAACCTATGTGGCTTACGGCCAAAGTTAAAAAAGCTATAGATAATAAGAAAAGAGCTTTTATTAACCACTTGCCTACAGGGCACTTATACCTCCTTCCTGCCCAGGCCAATTTCCAGCTTTCAGCGCTGTCACACTTTGAATGACAATTGCGCGGTCATGCAACACTGTACCCATATGAAATTTTTATCATTTGTTTGTGACAAATAGAGCTTTATTTTAGTGGTATTTAATCACCTCTGAGTTTTTTTATTTTTTCTTAAACAAACCAAAAACAACTGAAAATTTTGAAAAAAAAAAGTTTTTTTCTTAGTTTTTGTAATAAAATTTTGTAAATAAGTGTTTTTTCTCCTTCACTGATGTGCGCTAATGAGGCTGCAGTGATGGGAACTGATAGGCTGCACTGATGGACACTGATAGGTGGCACTGATGGGCACTGATGAGGAGTCACTGGTAGGTGGCACTGATGGGCATTGACAGACATCACTGATGGGCACTGAAAGGCAGCACTCATATATGGCATGATAGGCGGCACTGATAGGCAGCACTGACTGGCACTGACTGGGATAGGCGGCACTGACTGGCACTGATAGGCAGCACTGATGGGCACTGATAGGTGGCACTGACTGACACTGATAGGTGGCACTGATTGGCAGCACTGATAGGTGGCACTGACTGGCATTGATAGGTGGCACTGACTGGCACTGATGGGTGACAGTAAAGGCAGCTCAGATGGGCACTGATATGTGGCATTGATGTGCACTGGTAGGCACTGAAATGTGACACTGATGTGGCACTGATGGGCACTGACAGGTGGCATGGATGAGCACTGACACATGGCACTGATGGACACTGACAGGTGGCACTGCTGGGGCTACACAGATCATCAGGGAACACTGATCATCAGTGGTCTGATGATCAGTGTAGATGTCCCCTCCGAGGAATGCCAATTACCTGCTCTTCTCTCCTCTCGAGCTGTCAGTGTGACAGCTCGTGAGGAGAGAAATGCCGATAACCGGCATTTCCCTGTTTAGATGTGATCAGCTGTGATTGGACACAGCTGATCACATGACCGAGCCGACATCTTCGGCTCTTTCCATGGAACGGTGATCCGCTGTGTCCGAGGGACACAGCGCACCGCCAATTGCTGTGCTGCGTGCTCCCAGAGCCGCACATGTGCGGTGTGAATGGCAGGACGTCATATGAGGCCTCCCAGAAAGAGAGAACCGTCTTGCGCCCGTCATTGTACTATATGGTGGGTGGGAGGCAGTTAAATACAAAAATGAAGGAATGCTATCATCGTTTAAACATTACAAAGAGTATAACAGAATATGCAAAAAGGAAATAAAGGCCACAAAAATTGAAAACGAATGACAGATTGCAAAAGATAGCAGGACCAACCCCAAAAAATTCTTCAAATACATTAATAGTAAAAAGGTCAGGTCTGAGCATGCAATCCCTTTACACAATAATCTAGAGTGGGTGACTGGGGACAAAGAGAAGGCACATTTATTAAATACCTTCTTCAGCTCTGTCTATACAAAGGAGCATGGGTATGTTCTTGTCGATAATGGGCATGGTACTGGCATTGGCTCACAACTGATATGATCCAAAAATATTTTTAAGAATAAAGGTGAATAAAGCACCTGAACTAGATGGCATACACCCACGGGTCCTTAAAGAATTGAGCTTGTCATTTCAAAGCCATTGTTTCTAATTTTTAGGGACTCTTTAATGACTGGCATAGTACCACTGGATTGGTGTAAGGCCAATGTGGTGCAATATTTAAAAAGGGGTCAACATCTTAACCAAGTAATTATAGACCTGTTAGTTTAACTTATTTAGTTGGGAAGATACTGGAGAGTTTAATAAAAGACCACATAGATGAGTTCTTGCTGGGAAAAAATATTTTAAGCAACAGACAGCATGGATTCATGAAAGACAGAAGTTGTCAAACAAATCTTATTTCTTTTTATGAGGAGGTGAGCAAAACCGTGGACAGAGGGGTGGCGGTGGATGTGGTATACTTGGATTTTGCAAAAGCGTTTAACACAGTTCCCTATTCACGTGTAAGGTAAAGTCTACAGGCTTGGAAAAATACGTATGTAAATAGATAGAAAACTGGCTAAAAGATCGTATTTAGTGAGTAGTGGTTAATGATTCATACTCAGAATGGTCTAGGGTTGTCAGTGGTGTACCCAAGGTTCAGTGTTGGGACCCTTACTCTTTAATATATTTATAAATGATATAGGGTCTGGGAATAAAAATAACATTTCAGACTTTGCAGATGACACCAAGCTGTGCAGTGGAATACAGGATGTCTCCAACTTACAAGCCGACCTTAATGCATTGTGTAATTGGGCAACTATGTGGCAAATGAGGTTTGATGTTGATAAATGTAAAGTTATGTACTTGGGGGCTAAGAATATGCATGCATCATACATACTAGGGGGGAGTACAACTGGGGGAATCAATGGCGGAGAAGGATTTGGGAGTTCTGGTAGATCACAAGCTTAATAATGGCATGCAATGTCAAGATATGGTTTCACAAGTGAGCAAAATCCTCTCGTATTAAAAGAGGTATAGACTCCAGAGAGAGAGATATCATATTACCCCTCTACAAATCATTAGTAATACCTCATCTGGAATATGCAGTTAAATTTTGGCCACCAATTCACAAAAAGAACATTGGGGAACTGGAGAAAGTACAGAGAAGGTCAACCAAATTGATAAGAGGAATGGAGGAGCTCAGCTATGAGAAAAGGTTAGAGGAACTGAATGTATTATCTCTTGAGAAGAGGAGATTAAGGGGGATATGATCAACATGTATAAATACATCAGTGGTTCATATAGTGAACTCAGTGTAGAGTTATTCACCCTGAGGTCATCACAGAGGACAAGCGGGCACACTTTAAGTCTGGAGGAAAAGAAACTTAATCTCCAAACATGGAAAGGTTTCTTCACAGTAAGAGCTGTGAAAATGTGGAATAGGCTCCCTCAAGAGTTGGTTTTGGCCAGCTCAGTGGATGGAGGAAAAGAAATATAATCTCCAAATATGGAAAGGTTTCTCACCGTAAGAGCTCTGAAAATGTGGAATAGATTCCCTCAAGAGTTGGTTCTGGCCAGCTCAGTGGATTGCTTTAAAAAAGGCCAGAATTCTTTTTTGGCTACACAGAATATAACTGGATACTAACATTTATAGATAAGGTTTATCCAGGGAATATCCAATTGCCTCTTGGGGGATCAGGAAGGAGTTTTTCCCCTGCAGGAGTCTTCCTCTGGATCATCTGTGGGTGTAGGATTATAAGTTTTTTTTAATGATTGAACTGGATGGACTTTTGTCTTTTTTCAGCCAGACTAACTATGTAACTATGTAACAATAGTTCAGTTTTGTCTGCCTGAGCCCCAGACAAAAGGTTTAAGTAGGAAATCTAACACTTTAGAAGATTTCAAGGGCAAATAGATTGGAGAGTGGCAAAAAACAAAAAGGCTTGTGTGACTACAGGATGAAATGAGAAGTGCTGCTGAAGACAGGACAGCACTGGATCGAGTGTAGATTCAGGTAAGCATTTAAAGGGGGGTTGCTGGGCGGGAGCTGCTATTAAAAGTTTTTTTTTTACCCAAACGCAGAGAACAAACTTACAAAAAATAAAGGTACATTTTGGCAAAATTTCTGATTACTAATGGCTAGCAGGATGTGCTTAACAAAATATAACAATATTATTTGGTAATGGCAACATAATCCCTATTAATTCATGTATAGAAAAGTGTGGATTTTAATCACGGGCTTCCTTTAATCTAGAGAGGTCAGTCCACATTTACACCCGTATTACCAGCTGTTGGATTTTATTAATAGAATTTAGGAGCTTTACAACGCTGCAGTATGATTTGACCTAAGCATGACACTAAACACTTCCTGTTTAATCAATATCTCAATCCAGCATATAGTACTACACCACTGCCAATGATTGCAATATTCCAATACATTTCACACCATTTTGTGATATTACAAAACTTGTCTCTGTGCACCCCCCATATTGGATCCTTTCCCTTCACATCTGATCTGTGGAAGCAAGTAATGTATGTAGATTGCAGTCACTACTGATTGTACTTCTCTCCACCTACTACAAATCCCAGCTGTCTATGTGATTTCTAGTTCTACTGTGCATTTGACGTCTTTTGTTTGTACCTCCCACAAGCGTCTGCCACAAAGCATCGACGTGGGCAGTTATTTAGTCTGGTGGCAATTTATTTAATAGACTTTCATTTTGTGCTATTATGTACCTATACTGACTGCAACAGTACATAATAAAGTAGTCCATCTTGAGAGTCAGCAGAGAAGGGAGGCTATGTTCTCATATATGGTAAGACCATGTAGAATAATAATGTACCTTCTTATAGCAATTCAGAGCTGAGGAGACTTAAAATCTATTTAGTTATTTAGTCTGGTGGCAATTTATTCAATAGACTTTCATTTTGTGCTATTATGTACCTATACTGACTGCAACAGTACATAATAAAGTAGTCCATCTTGGGAGTCAGCAGAGAAGGGAAGCTATGTTCTCATATATGGTAAGATGTAGCATAATAATGTACCCTCCTATAGCAATTCAGAGCTGAGGAGACCTAAAATCTATTTTTTTTGGAAGAATTGTCCAAAGATTTCAATAGATTGGAAATAGAAGTCTAGCAGTAAAGTTATAGAATATGATTTTTTTTTGGTTAAGTGACACTTAAAGAGGAGTTCCAGCTGAAAAAATTAAAAATAACAGTAGCTGCTGACTTTTAAAATACAATGGCCTTGTAGTCTTCTGGGACCTGTCACGTATCCGAGAAGACTACAGGGAGGGAGGGAGGACAACTTCCCCGCTCCCCAAAGGTGCCAATCCTTAATGGGGAGTGGGGGACAAAGACTTAAAGCAGAACTTCCTCTTTTGGGTAGAGCTCCGCTTTAATAATAGACAATAAAATATAACTAATAATCAACACCTCCTAACCAGAATATATACACAGTTTTTGAAATAGAAAGGTCTATTGGCAGAGGGCATGCCTAGGTCAACAGCCAATGATCTCCCACTAGCTGCTCCATATGAATTTTAAAATTCTCATGATGATGTCACAGGATCAGTAAACACTGTTTCTTCCTACAGGAACTAGGTAAAAGATAAAAATGCTAGGCTATGTTTAACAGTGGGAAACGTCTGGTGAAAAAATTGGGTAATACCAGGACAAATCGGGTAATACCTGGATACCGTGTTTGCCTACTCAATGGAAATCAATGGAAAGTTTAATTTACCTCTTTCAAGTCTGTGCTACATCAAAACCTTCATGACTAGACCAAACTTTGAAGTTTTGGTATGTGACAGGCTTACTTAACAGTAACATAGAATATAAACATCTTTCCTGCTACAGGATCTTTTTCTTCCCTTTAGCCTTCAATTGACAGGCCAGCAGGAGAGGGGTGGGAGCAGTACTAAGATTGGTTGCATTAGCGTCCAGAAAAAACATTTGCTCCACTGCCTGACAGAGGCATAAATTCGGGCTGGGCAATGGAGCTGAGGAAGAACTCATTGAGGTGTTTAAAAAAACCATATTGCATGCTTAAAAAATGAGGATCATTTAATTCAGCATGCACAAATGATCCAGACACTTCTGCAATTAATGTTTTATAAATAGGTGCCTAAAAAAGCTAATTAATCTTTCGTACTTAAAAAAATGAACCTATTGACCAATAAAAGAACCAATCCAACTCAAACTAACTAACTAACTAACTAACTAACTAACTAACTGGTCAGTTAATTAACTCAGCAAACTAACCAC